AAAAAAAAAAAAAATCAGACACCTGTCCGTATGACGAATAGCTCTTTTGTACTATCGTAGCACCAACATGAAGTAACAAGAAAAAAATCGCAACAGTGAGGTAAAAGTTTAGTCCCTAATTGTATATATGATTTATACAAAAATAGCATCGTATCACGTTTTTAAATTTAAGTACTTTCTATTCTTTAAGGCAATCGAGAAAGGAGAGTGTCAGATTTGTAAAAATCTACTAGTAATACTGTATCGATGAGCGTGAGGTTCGATGAGAAAAATGGCGTACGCTTCGAGCAGATTGATTAACTTCATCGATTGGTATAATCGTACAAAGCGTTTCTGTCCTGTAAACAAGTGTGAGTGTCACTTGCTAGGTTATCAAAGCGTCGTCGACGTACGATTCTCGTAGCATTCACGAGCAATTTGCTTCAGAGCCTCTGCCATTGCTGGTCCGGTCTCGTTCATCATACTCTTCAGATATCCGTTCCTTTCGATCAAGACGTACGGAACATCAAACTCCTAACGGGAATAAACAAGTTGATTAAATCGTTCTTCTTTCAACTTACTCTCTCTACCAATTCGATGGTGACACAACTTACCACGGCATTACCGGCGTCCATCACCAAAATTCGATCGCTGTCCATCACGGTGTTGAGACGATGCGCGATGGTCAACACCGTGCAGTTGGCGAATTTCGTGCGGATGGTTTTCTGAATGAGCTCGTCGGTCTGCGGATCGACGTTCGCGGTAGCTTCGTCGAGAATGAGGATCCGATTATTTTTAATGATAGCGCGTGCCAGACAGACGAGTTGACGTTGGCCGACACTCAGATTCGAACCACCCTCGTTGACGTGAGCCTCCAGCCCCATCTCCTTCAGTTCGACTTCCTCCAATGCTTGCCACAGCAGATGGTCGCTGTAGTCGTCGAAGGGATCTAGATTCTTTCTCAGCGAACCGGAAAACAGGAAAGGTTCCTGAGGGATTATACTGATCTTCGACCGTAAATCGTGAAGCCCGATCTCGTTGATTTTCACACCGTCGATCTCCACGATACCGTCGAGGTACGCGAAGCGGAATAGCGCAGAGATCAAGGACGACTTTCCCGCGCCTGTTCGTCCGACGATGCCAATCTTCTCTTGCGGGTAAATCACCAAGTTCAGATTTTTCAGCACCGGGGGCTCGTCCGGGGCGTATCTCATCACTACGTTCTTAAATTCAATTTTACCCTCCTCGGGCCAACTTTCCTTGGGCTTTTTATCCGGCTTGCTCTCGAGCGGTGGTTCGCTCTCCACTTTGCTAAAAGAAGAATTCGTGAGACTCTTTCGCTTAAAAACCCAAGAACTACTGTGTCATTAGTTCCCCTCGAAGCGCTTACCTGTACTCCAGCACACGTTCCACCGAGGTCATTTGATTTTCCATCTCGGTACTCTGCCGCATGCCCCACTGGAACATGCCGGTTAATCCGATGCTTTGCGTTATGGCCAAGCCCACGTTGCCACCCTCTGCACCAACGTTTAGCACCAAGAAGCTCAAAGTGACGAACATGATGTAGACGACGCAAAAGAAATCCAGCCAGAATCCGAATGCCCTCGAACAAGAGATGAATATGTACCACGCTGACGAGTGCAGGTCTTGGTGTTGATCGAATTCCTGTGTTAATATCTCTTCCGCCTCGAAGGCTCGTACAGTTGGCAGCCCTTGCAAGGTTGCGTTCAGGTGTGCAAACACCGGTGATCGAGCTAGGCGTTTGTTATTACAAATTGTTTAAT